TAATACAAAAGTTCCTGAATTTCAGATACATATTGTACTTCCAATCCATTCAATTTGGTCTTCGTGGTTGATTTGTCAAACAAACGTCTAATTCTTAGTACTGAATGCGATCTAGAGTTGAGCTGAGCTGAATACTTCCAAAATTATCATCGAGCTAAACTTGAGTAGACGAACACGCATTCAAGTAATATCTATGTCGTTCAGGTACTGACATATCATTAAGGTTGATCGGCTCACTTAAGTTGTGTTCCATAACTTTCTAAAGGTAGTCCAATACTATGCTTATTTGGATTCCTTAATTAATCCAAGGCATTTACTTAATATAAGATACAAGGGTATTTTGGTAATTTTGGTGTTCAATTTTATTCCATTTATTTTAGAGCTCGAAGATATCCAATCATTCTTGAGTTTGGTAGTATCTTGGGTCATTTCCATTATAGGGGTATTTTGGTCATTTTACAGATTCAGTGTATTTCAATCATTTCCTTCCGTCCGATCTTACTATTAAATTCAATCTTATCATTTATTTCAGTCCTTTTGAACAATTCTGACAACAGAACACCCCCAAAAAATTATTCTTCAGGTATTTATTCATAACTCAGATATTTCCGGGTCAAGTGTCTTCCCAGATTTTACGAACAGAATATCAAGAATTTTTCTTCACTAAGTCAGGGTCTTAACAATCAAATATGTACTTAATCGAGTTAAATACGAATCCTCAAAGTACTTTCTTATTCAGGGTTAACTCATATTATTTAACCTCTCAAGGGTATTTTCGTAATTTCTTAACCAAATAATTTCGATATTAGATCTTAACGAAAATAATTATAATTTAAAGATCCTATGGTTAATTTCTTTTCAGAACATTCTCAAATCTTGAAATGATTCCTTAACAGATTTCTAGTATCGTGCATAAACCCTCTTGGGGTTGAAAACCGATTATCCGAATTTCCTAAGCAAACTAGCATTTCTTATCCACATCTGTAGTTTTATCATATCAATATATCCTTTCATAGTTATAAATCAACCTTCAGGGACAATTCTTGACAAATTAAAACTTAAGGGTATTTTTGTAATTTTACCCTACCAGAGTATTCTCATAATTTCCCATCCAAGTACCTTTAACATTTGACCTTTGATGAAAAAAATTATAAGATACAGATCCAGGTTTATTTCTTTATTACCAAACACAGAACTTGAAATTTAATTCTAACAATCCCTCAATTTCTTATAAAAGTTCTCTGAACCATAATCAGTTACCAAATTTCTGCTGTATTCGGATCGAGTGTAGAAATTCATTAACTACCCAAATGAGACCAATATTATCTTATTCATGCATTTATCAATATTCACATGTTCCATAAAACATAAAAAGATAGTAAAGTATTACATCGATTTCCGTGCCATACTGATCTACCATATAAATTCCATTCGAACGCCCTCGATCTTTAATTCAACTTCAAATAATTCCTCAGATGCACATTAACATAAATTTTATCAAAAACGGAGCTTAATTCCGAAAAATGGATCAAATCGAGTGATTAATCTGTGAAAAACAACTTACTGAATTTGAATTTGACGAAACGGACCTCAAAAATAGAACATCAACAAAACCCAAAATATAGTCTTAAATTCCAGCTCACCAACTTGATTTCTAGCTTCCAATCTTTTTCTAACGAACACGGATAATTCATCGTACAAATACGACTTCCAATAATTTTCCTTGCCATAAAAAATAACTTATAAAAATCTAATTAATAATTTGGAAACCCAATTTGCATAACTAAAAACTTGAAGAGCCAGTAATATTTAATTACTAACATCATGGACTAAATTGATCTTCTAAAAACTATTATGTCATAACTATAACCACTTGGAAACTAAGAGACAAGGTAAAGATCTCACCAAAATTGGATGACATACCTTGCGGTTTACCCAATTAGTATAATAGAATACTTGTGGGGTTATTTTAATAATTAATCATTAAAATTAGGGACTGAACCAAATTAATTTGCACTATTGAGCCATAAATTAAAACTAAAGGAAACTATGAGACAAGACCAAGTTCTTACGAAGCCTTTAGGACCCATGATGATTTTCCACTTATTTTATTAACCACCCACGTGATTTTCCTTTTGGGAATCATAACCCCATTTTTCAACCAATTGATGTGTTTAGCATTGGCACATAACCCATGTGGAATGTCCCTTGAATGCACTACTCTCAATTATTAAATATGGTTGTAGCCATCTGGCAATGAACCAAAGACCAAAGCTATGGTCAAAACCCATTCCATTCATTAGTTTTGTCCTTGTACAAACAATCCAACAACCATTGTATCCCAAGCATCTTCTCTCGCATGATGGAGTGAATCGTCACGCTCGACAGCCACGAGAATCATAGCAGGTTTTGGCTCACGATGAACCGCTGATGGCATCTTCAATTCTTCATACTTTGAGAGAGTTTTCTGGATCTCATCATTCACATTCAAAGCTTCGAAAAGCAGGGCATCATTTTCTCCAGCAGTATCGATGATTCTGAGAACAGTGGATTGGGACTGTCGACATTGCTGGACAAGCGTGGTTGTCAAATAATCCTGTAACACCCCCAACCCGTACCCGACCCGAATACGAGTCTAAGGTGTCACATTAACTTTTCAAACTTTGACTCTGGACAAAATTCAAAGAAAATTTAAAACTTTCATTAAAATAAAAGCGGTTTATTTACATAAATTGACCAAAATAACCAAAATCGATCAGAGCATATTCAACTCAATCAATTAGTACATGCAACTATATTTAAATTAACCAAACACATTTAAATCATCTATTTCTGATTTGAAATCTTTGTAAGGGAGATGCTGACATGTTTTGCTATTCTTCGCTTTTCTTCTCGCTTCTGCAACCTACGTGTGAAACAATCACACGCTAAGTCTATGACTTAGTGAGGCATTAACGTATAAAAGTAACTCTAACTACTCAAACATGCATGTACATATCATCTCATGCTATCATACACAACAATATAATCAACTGTACACATATACCCATTATTTATCATTTATATCGTTAATCTTATTCTATAATCTGTATTATTATCATTTATATCCTTTAATCACACCTTCTTATACCTAATCTTTTTATTAATATATGACTCCTTTAAATCATATACACATCATAATATTAATCATATAATACAGTTCATATCACCAAGAATCACACATAACATCCCATAATCTTTGTAATCCATTTTTCATAACATATCACTCATACATATATCACGTACAATATATTTATATTATTGCTTTATTAGCCCATATATACTTTTGAGAACTTAAGGTATGTGAGTACATTGAGGTTGTGCATCACTACGTTGTCATCACAGCTCGTATAAATGTCCCGAATGACCTATCCAGAGGTCATAATGAACCTCAGCAACTGTCCATAGGTCCCGAAGAACCTAGGTAAACTATCCATATGTTCCTTAGAACATAGGTATACTGTCCATATGTCTCGAAAGGCATAGGTAATTATGTCCATATGTTCCGTAGAACATAGGTAAACCCTCGACTCTTGGCATACCAACTATACCTATCGCTCTCGTATCATATAACATGGGCATTTTCACTTATATCATTCCACATATACACTTTCATATCACATGTCATATAAGCTCATAGCTTCTTTCACATATACATGTAGGCACGTAGTTTCTTTTCACATAGTTCATGTCAATTCTCATATGATTTCATATTCATACTTCACATGGCTCATATCACTTTGCATGGTCTCACATATATTTTCCATATAACTCATATCATATGATTCATATCTTATTCTTCTTTCATCGTATATATCATCTATGTTCATTCACTTAATATCTTATATTAACTGTCCTAATCATTGCCGATCACTAGTCTCATATTTTATTTCCATGTGTTCACATCAACCATGTCACATAAAATGACATATCAAACATATCACACAACTAATGTCCTATTCTCATATATTCATGTACTATACTATTGGAAATAGACTTATCGCAAGTCACTTTCCATATAATCCTATGTAATAAGATGCACTCACCTTGGCCTCAATAAGTTTCAATCCACTTTTATGATTTCCTCTCTTTCGATCGAATCTTAACTTGATAATTGTTCCGGAACTTGTTCATGTTCGATATCTACATAAGCATACATTGATACATATCAGTATCCCATTGATATACACTAATCTATCATTTCTTAGACTAAAAGAAATGTCTATTTCAATTTCCCTTGAAGTGCATCGATGCATTCTACAGTGTACCGATGCATCCCTTAACATGTTCTCAACTCATATACATATATTCAAACTCATTTCTATTCATTAATCACCTCTTTAACATCAAAATCCTATTCTCTATATGTAATTCAAGAATTACATTAAATTTTCAACATGTTCCAAATCAATTATATTGCTTCTAACTTCTTAATTAGACCCTTGACAAGTCAAATTTAACTTCCAACTCTAGTTATGAACTCTATTTCAAGATTTCACCCTAAGAACCTCAAATATTTAATCCCTCCTAACTCCATCATACTTTGATTTTAAGATAACTTAAGCTTAGTTATCATCTAATAATCAAAACCCAACCTTAAAATCAACAATTAATCCATAAACAAAGAAACTCACCTTTGAGCTTGGAGATACGAGATGAGGAAGAAGAAGAAAGAAAACTCTGGATAATTCTCTCATTTCCCACGTGGTTCCTTATCTTATAAAAGGAATATAAAAATTTTACTTATCAATTGACCATTTTACCCTTTAATTCATTCAATAATTACTAAATAACCTTCATCATATTTCCAATAAATCATTGAACTATTCAATTATCCTACTTTAATCACCAATTTCTGAAACTTTACAATTTGGTCACTAACTCGGTATTGAGTATATTACAAATCCTCAAGAGTATCTTGTTGTGGTGATGTGGATAACATAGTTGAAAGAAGCTTGATGTTGTTTCTTGCTACATCAAATGCTTCCTTAGTCTGTTTGACGGTAAAGGATTGGAGAAGAGCATCATGCTGAAGCTGCATGTCACGTTGAAACTGATTTGCAAGACTATCATCTACTTCTGCTGCAGAAATTGAACGAGGAGGGGTAAAATTAGGTGCCAAACTCTCCTTACCATGACCAGGAAAGCGAACATCCCTTGATTTTAAGCTTCTGCTTTATTTGGTTCTAAATATTTGAAATAAATTATTAATAGAAAAATCTTTTATTTTCAATACCCCGTATTCAAATAATCACTCATCCATTATCTTGAAATATATATAAAAAACAAATAAATCCCTTGTATTCAATCAACCACTCATCCATTTCTTTCATAATTGAGGAGTGGTTGGCTTGGTGCCTACATATAATAATGGTACTAACAGGTGGCCATAATAATTGTTATGGGCCAATATACATGTGATCTTAATAATTACAATAATTGGGGTGTTACAATGTTAACCTCGAGGGATGGTCCGCCTTCTGTAGTGATTACACACATTGGGGTGAATTCGTTTCTAAGGCAGTGGTTCTACCACGACACGGTTTATGAACTGTTCCTTTTACATTATTGTTTATCTTTCCTATTAGTGCTAACGGTGTGGTTTTACAGTTTCTATTTTACTAACAATTTAGAAAAGAATTCGATATATTGCAATCATGCCAACACCTTTGAGCAAGCTTATTCCCGATATATCCAAGCTCGATACACTTGATGGAAAGAATTATAGAAGGTGGTCTCAGTGAATACTGATTTTCTTTGAGAAGCTTGATTTTGACTACGTGCTGCTCAAGCAACCACCTATCATACCGCCAAACCTTACTGCTGGTAATGATACAGATGTGGTCCTTAATGACGATGTCTTAGCAACTGTCGCCGCCGCTCTTGCTACCTACGAGAAGTACGAGAAAGACAATAAAATGGTGCGAGGACATCTGTTCAATCACATGTAAAATAAGTTATTTGATATGTTACTTAGAGAAAGGAGTGCCAAGGCAATATGGGACACTCTCAAGAAGAAGTATGGTGCGGACGATGCAGGCATCAAAAAGTACGTTATCGGCGAATGGCTCAAATTCCAAATGACAGACGACAAGTCGATAATAGATCAAGTCCATGACTATGAAAACCTAGTTGCCGACATCATCGCCGAAGGGATGCAAATGTGTGAGGTACTGCAAGAAAATGTTCTCATTGAGAAGCTGCCCAAGTCCTGGTCTGACTACCACAACTCTCTTAAGCATAAGAAGAGAGAAATTTCACTTGAAGAGCTCGTGGGCCATATGAAGATTGAAGAAGCCAACCATTTAAAAATAAGCTTACTAATTCTATGAGTAATTTATCTTTTAGAGATAACTTGGTTGAGTCTAAATTTAATAAGATCATGAAACGTGGGAATCAAGACAATAAGACGAAACCTCAAAAGGCTACCAACTTCAAGAAGTCAGGAAAGGCCAAACCTGAAGGAAAGACACTCAAGTGCTATGTCTGCGGTTTACCCGGCCACAAAGTTTACTAATGCCAACACCGCTCAGATCGCCAGAATGATAACAAGCCACAGATGTACATTGTAGAAGAAGATGATGAAATCATTGTTGCGATGGTCTCAGAAGTTAATCTGGTGGAAAACAATTCGGAATGGGTTATTGACACTGGCGCTTCAAAGCATTTTTGCGCAAGGAAAGAGTTTTTCTTCGAATTCGAGGATGAGAATGAAGGTGAACGTGTATACATGGGGAACTCTAACAGCTCTAAAGTGCTAGGCAAAGGCAAGGTTTTACTCAAGTTGACATCTGGTAAAACTCTGACTTTAAATAATGTTTTGTATGTACCTGCCTTACGTAGAAATTTGATAAGTGGTGGGCTTTTGAATAAGGCATGCATTAAGTTAGTTTTTCAGGCAGATAAACATGTACTTTCCCAAAATGGTGATTATGTTGGGAAAGGGTTTTTTAATAATGGTTTATTTGTCATTGAAACTCAATTTAATGAAAATAAAGCTATCACTTCTGCTTATATTGTTGAATCTATTGTTATATGGCATGCTAGATTAGGATACATGAATATTCTGCCTAAACTAGACACAACTAGCTTTAATAAATGTGAAATTTGTGTAGAAGCTAAACATACTGGACCTCACTTTAGGATTGTTTCTAATAGAAAGACTGAGCTGTTAGAACTCATTCATACTGATCTAGCAGATTTTAGAAACACTGAAAGTAAAAGAGGAAAACACTACTATATAACTTTTGTAGATGATTATTCAAGATATACAAAAGTTTATCTCCTAAGGACTAAAGATGAAGCTGAAAACTTCTTTCTTATTTAAAAGGCAGAAGTTAAAAATCAGTTAGATAGGAGAATCAAACGGGTTAGATCTGATAGAGGTGGTGAATATGGATCTAATTTCTTAAAAGATATTTGTGAAAAGAATGACATAATTCATGAAACTTCAGCCCCCTATTTTCCTCAAAAGAATGGTATAGCCGAAAGGAAAAATAGAACTTTAAAAGAGATGATGAATTCTTTACTAATAAGTTTTGGGTTATCTGATAACATGTGGGGGAAGCCATTCTATCGGCAACTCATATCTTAAACTGAGTTCCTCATAAGAACTTAGATTCTACCCCATATGAATTATGAAAAGGATACGCTCCTAATTTACAATACCTGAAAGTGTGGGGGTGTCTAACCAAAGCGGGTTTGCCAGACTTTAAGAAGTCCACCATCGGACCTAAAACCGTTGATGCAGTGTTTATAGGGTATGCTACGAATAGTGTTGCATACAGATTCATGTTTTTACAAGATTATTCTATTTGTGAGTCAAGAAATGTTATTTTATTTGAAAATACATTTCCTTTAAAGGAACCGAGATTAAATGTCGAAACACAAATAGAATATATTTCATCCACTTCTTCTAGTATTCCTGCTAGGTCTTCTCAAGAAAATGATTTCAAGCCTAGAAGAAGTAAAAGGCAAAGAGTTGAAACCTCTTTTGGACCAGACTTTATTACTTCCTTTATTTACGAGATAAATGATTTAGACTCTATTTCAGATCCTATAGCTCAAATTTTTCTGTTAGATGAGGATCCTAAAACTTTTGAAGAAGCTATAAGACCTATCGATGTTAGGCGCTATTAATGATGAACTAGAACCGATAATGTCTAATCATACTTGGGAATTAGTTGACTTGCCTAAGGGATTCAAACCAATCTGGAATAAATGGGTATTTCAGAAGAACCTGATGCCAGATGGTTCGATTCAATGGTACAAGGCAAGGTTAGTTGTCAAAGGGTTCACTCAAAGGTTTGGTTTAGATTACTTTGATACATACTCTCCCGTTACAAAAATCTCAATGATTCGTGCATTATTTGCACTAGCCTCTATTCATAAGTTGCAGGTACATCAAATGAATGTTAAGACTGCTTTCTTGAATGGAGATCTAGATGAGGAGATTTACATGGAGAAACCACTAGGTTTTGAAGCACCTGGTATGGAAGGAAAAGTCTTTAGACTCAAAAAGTCACTCTACGGACTTAAACAGACTCCTAAACAGTGGTGTGAGAAATTTCATAAAACTATTCTTAATTTTGGTTTTATTGTGAATGGATCGGATGCTTGTGTGTATTCGAAGATGTTTGACACTGAATGTGTTATCATAAGCCTGTATGTTGATGACATGTTGATTTTCAATTCTAACATTGAGTCCATTAACAAAGTTAAAAATTTCTTGTCCACTAAGTTTGAGATTACAGATTTGGGAGAAGTAGATGTAATATTAGGAGTCAAAGTTACCAAAACTGAAAAGGGATTTTCTTTAAGTAAAGCACATTATATAGAGAAAGTGCTAAAGAAATTTGACAGTTTTGATGTCGTCCCTGTTCGAACTCCTTATGACCCTAGCATACATCTAGTTAAGAATAAATGAAGTAGCGTTTCTCAAACTGAATATGCTAAATTAATGGGAAGCTTAATGTTCTTAATGAACTATACTCATCCTGATATTGCTTATGCTGTGAGTAGACTGAGTAGATATACTCATAATATGAGTGGTGAGCACTGGATTGCTCTTAAACGCTTACTGAAGTATCTTAAGGGTACTTTGGATTGGAAACTTGAGTTTGTTGGCTTTCCTACGGTACTGGAAGGATATTGTGATGCCAACTGGGTTTCTGATAATGATGAGGTAAGCTCTACGAGCGGGTATGTTTTTACTTTGGTGGACCAACAATCTCGTGGAAATCATCAAAGCAGACTTGTATTGCTCGTTCTACCATGGAGTCAGAGTTTATAGCTCTTGACCTAGCTGGGCAAGAAGCCAAGTGGCTCAAAAGCTTGTTAGTAGATATTTCGTTGTGTTGAAGACCGACTCCTCCAGTTTCTTTGTTGTGTGATTCACAAGTTGTAATATGTGTGGCTAAGAACCAAGCTTACAATGGTAAGAAAAGACACATTCGCATAAGACATGAATCAGTTAGACACTTAATAAAGAATGAAGTGCTCTCTTTAGAATATGTGAAGTCGGAAAGGAACCTAGCAGATCTGCTTACCAAAGTTTTAAGTCGGAAGTTGGTCATAGATTCGTCGAGGGTGATGGGTCTAAAGCGGTTGAGGAATTCATGGTGGATACCCAACTTAGTTATCTAAGTTCCATGTGGTCAAACAAAACCATAGAAAGACTCATAGTGCACATCCTACTGCCTATCCCTATGATGAATAATGTGCATGCCCAGGATGAGCTTAATTTCTCTTAATAAATTCATAGCCCAGTCTTTGGGTGGTCTTAGTGAGAAAGACTTGATGAATTTATCGATTTTGGCTGAATATATATTCTTAATAAGTTCATAACCCAGAGTGAGTGGGTAGGAAATTATGAACTTACCGACAAAAATGTTGAGTTTGTTAAACTCTTAATAAATTCAAATCCAAGTATTTGGATGGTTCTAGTGAGAATGACTTATTGAATTTACCGATAAATGAGGTTGAATATTTATTCTTAATGACTTCTTAACCCAGAGTTTGGGTGGTTCATTTCAATGAACTTGAAGAAAGTCACCATACCCTTTCTAAGGTTGAACTATTATAAAAGCTCTTAATTATTTCATATCCCTTTTAAGGGTGGTTTATGTCGAGATAGACTTGGTGAAATAACCTATGTAAGTGAGAAGGGTTAGCCGCCTTCTATGAAAAATGTTGGGCCATTTTTCTAGCACACTTACTAGAATCCTGAGGTAAGATGGCCAAATATATACTTTTTATATATATATCTTACACATCGATGACTCAAGTGGATGAAGGGGTTAGTTGTGTGTTATGAGTTTACCCCCATCTTAGAAAGTTCCAAACTAGTTTCACTTATCTAAGAGAAGGATTGCTCATCAGCACTATGTACTAGTTCCAGATACGTTCACTAGTGCTTAAGCAACTAATCTCGCTATTGCTCTTCTGGAAAGTTTGTTTTCGAATTTCAGAAGAATTATTTCGCATTAGTGGGGGAATGTTGGTAATGCTTAATCTCACATAGTATTGGAAACACTATTGGGAATGGGTATTTAAGGTTTGGATTTCCCACTTCCATGTTGAGTGATAGAGAGCAAGGGGGACTCTCGCGTACCGCCGACGCCACCGTCCGTCTCATCACAGCACGGCTCGGCTCGTGGTCGTGGTTGAGGTCGAGGTCGTGGTCGTGGTCATTGTAATACGTGTTTTCGACACGTCCGCGCGGATACTATCTTTTTAGAGAAAATTCTTGAGGAATTTCTCTTTGAAAGAAACAAATGGAAAATGTGAAAGATTTCAACTGATATTTATAGGCTTCTAAGGACTGTTTAAATTCAAAATGATAACAGCTGATTTATGAGTTATCAGAAATTAAACAGCTATTTTCTAAATTAAATCAAAGAACGATTAAGATGTATCTGGACTGATTTCCAGCTTTGTACAGAGGAGACAAGCTGTTAATATCAGGAGTTACAAGAGTTATTTGATTTAATTCCAGGGGTTATATGATATAATTTCGAGAGTTATAACAGTTGAATAATGATGCAATGAACCTAGACTATTTCTGAGTCAGGTTCATCTAGATGTTTCAGCTGTTACAAAGAAGAGATTTAATCATGAAATTTTATGGACGATTTTAACCCTATTTCTAGCCTATAAATAGAGAGTTATATTCAGCTTCTCAATTCAGTCTCAATATTCACAATTCACTCTCAAAGTGTTTTCTGCAATCCGATCAGAAGTGCAATACAACCAACAGTCCACTCCAGTTTCGGGTGTACGAAATTCAGAGCGACCGTGTTAACCTCGGGGGACGGTCTGCCTACTGTAGTGATTACACACATTGGGGCGAATTCATTTCTAAGGTAGTGGTTCTACCACGACACGGTTTATGAACTGTTTCTTATACATTATTGTTTATCTTTCCTGTCATTGCTAACAATGTGGTTTTGCAGTTTCTATTTTACTAACAGGTGTAATGTTAGATACAAGTCATCTCAGGTGAAGCATAAATGTTCGATGAAATGCTTGTGAGAAAAAAATGGGGTTAGAAATACAGAGTTGACAAATACTATTAAGATGAACTAAGTATCGTTGTTGAAAGTCACTAACAAAACTGGAATTATTTTGTATAAATGACATATAATAATTTCTTCGTTTAATCCTTGTGGTTAAATATTTTCCAACAGATGATCAAATATAATGAAATCCCAAACAGCGCATTCACCTCTCAGTCTCTTTCACAACTCGAAAGACATCATGACAGGGTCAACCTATGCAGAATTATCTTATAAAGATATAACTCAATATAATTCAACTGTATAATTTTCAAAATATGTAAAAAATTCCAATTCGTTATCAGTCTCGTAATCAACATGAACTTATTAAAAAGAATACGAGCTCACAGGACGTCGAAAACCACAGGTCGGATCAATACAATTCCAGTACACTAGTACCAGTAGTCTCTCGAATTGAGCCTGGAGATTTCACTATGTCGATACTCACAACCAATTCCCTGATTTAAAGAAAAACCAAACAAGAAGATCAAAAAAATTTAGCCTAGGACCCTACTTCACTTCTATTCTGATGGACTGAATATATTTCATAAGGAGTACTAAAAGTTTTGATTAAGAAGAAAGAAAGAAAATTAGATGGTTTTTGTTCAAAACTAACACTGAATATCCAGATCATTGACATGCAGTTCCAGAAACATAAAAAATTTAACAAAAAACACACAATGCGAGCTGAAAATGAGAAAGTGCGAAAGATGAAAAACTTACTACTGGATAGCCCAAAAGAGAAAATAAATACCTTATTGCAAGTAAGGGGAGAGGCTAAGAAATAAACACAATCAGTGTTGCATTCCAGTAATTCTTCCTCTATTTTTTTGTAAATAAAAAGCTGAAAGACAAAGCATTGCTTGGGTTTACAAATTTACATGGCGGAAAATTGAAGAGAAAAACCAAACGAGAGTGCATGTGAGCGAAAGAGACTGAGAGGTGAATGTGTTGTTTGGGATTTCATTATATTTGATCATTTGTTGGAAAATCTTTACCCACAAGGATTAAACGGAGAAATTATTATATGTCATTTATACAAAATAATTCCAGCTTTATTGGTGTTTTTCAACAATGATACTTAGTTCAACTTAGTAGTATTTGTCAACTCTGCATTTCTAACCTCATTTTTTCTCACAAGCATTTCATCGAACATCTATGATTCACCTGAGATGACCTATATCTAACATTACACCTAGAATCGTTGATGGTCCCGATAGTCCCTTAGTTCGGTATTCTCTCAATGGACCCTTATTCAAGTCAACACCTCCACATAATTCAAAGTTATATTAGAATTTCTCACGCATCCCCGACTGAAAAATTACGCTGAAAATGAAAGAGAGAAGCGAAAAAGAAAATTCGAGATCGAAAAGGAATTTAGGGTTTAAAATGAAATTGAGGACTGTGTTGCAAGTTTTAAAAGTTGGGGGACCTAAATGTAAGTGCCTGAAAAGTTCAGTGACCATATTACAAATGTACTAACGTCAGTGTAACGGTCGGGGACTATATTGCAAATGGATTAAATGTTTAGGGATTATCTTGCAACTTTCAAAAGTTGGGAGACCTAAATGAAAACTTTATAAAAGTTCAGTGACTATTACTATACTTTACCCTTTTTCCTTTTTTAATTTACCTCTTACCTCTCCTTCTTCTCGGTTAGTATTGGTAATGAAAAGGAGGCTGTAAAATTAAAGTTTACTTCTTCAATCTTCATTCTATTTTTATTTCAAATATTAGTTATCTTCTTTCACGAATTTTATAAGATTAATCATTATTAGATTTTGTTATTCTTCATAAGTTCTTCATTTGATTTTTTTTTCAATTATTTAAAGTTATTGCCATTGAGATCTGGTATTTGCATCTAACTTGTTTATTTTTCTGGTTCAACTTCAACCTTTTCTGCCATTCCTTCTTTAATTTGTTTTATATGGTAATGATTTGCAGGATAATCTGATTCTTGAAGTGTGAATGGAAGATGTGATTTTTTATTTGTTTTCCTTTCATAGTTAAAAAAATAATTTACAACAATTAATTTAAATGTTGCACACTGTTAAAGGTATTAAAAATTATGTGCTTAAAATGTGTAAATTTGAAATTATCGGGTCGGGCCGGAGTTTTATTCTAAAATTCGGGGTGGAGTCGAGATGAAAGAAAGGCTAATGATCATTAGGGCAAGACGAGATTGAGTTTAAATAATTTATTTTCAGATCAGGGTCGGGGCGATCAAATATTATTTTTATTTAGTTCTTCAATTACTTTCTAATTTCAATTTGGTGGAATTAATCATCGCCAAATAGAAAATCTACGCATCAAGTATTATTTTTCTCAAAACTATAATAGTAAGGAGTTAGAGAGAAAAAGTTAAAAAAGTTTGATCACATGCTATATTTGTATAATTATAAATTTTATTATAAATATTTTAATTTTTGAATAATTGATTGTAATATTACAAAATTTCTCAAATATACCAATTTAATTTTTTATAATTCTTTTACAAACAATTCAGAATATTACTACAAAATTATTCATCTTTCCTACAACATGCAACATATTGAGTAACCACTTAAAAAGTTATTAATACTTATTTATTATGATAATAACTAAATGATCTTAGTGGTTAAAGGGATGATTGTTTTATCCTTAAAGGTCTCGGATTCGAACACTGACGATTGTCAGGGTATTTAAGTGTTTATTATCATAGATTAATAAATTTTTTTGAAAAACTAAAACAATCAAGAACTCACCAAAAACTAAAAAAACACTTTCATATTCAAATGTTTGATACCTATTGATCTTGTTAGTCAATGAGCGACGAAAACTGTCACCCTTAACGTTAGGGACACCATGGATAAAGGTAACCCTAGAAGATCAGCATAGCATATGAGAAAGAACCCTGTGAGCTACAATGATTCACATTTTGGAGAAAGACAACTGTAAGGGTGGCTTGGAATAAAATGCACATCCATCACAATTACCCTTCAAACTGCTCCCGATGATCAATGAGCTCGCCAAACTCAAGAACACGAAAAAACCCTTTCCTAAAATAGTATGTAATATTTAAATAGTTATTATAACATTAAGGTGTCTTTACTGTGTTGCCATAGTAGAAACATCCATAATATTTGGTTAAAAGAGTATCAATCTATACATCTCTAAGTGTTAAGCTGTCTTATTTCACCGTAAGAGACGAGAAACCTCCAAACGTGATAGAAACCTCCACCCATTAATCGTAGAAACTTTGAGTTACATTTGTACCTGTTGATTGTGAGTTGCCTTCATAGAGTGTTGAGTTTCCTTTATCCTAGTTTAAGGCACATAATAGCCCAAGGGGTCAAAATGCATCCGATTTGATGTTGAGATGCCTTCACCTTGTAACAGCACAACAAATATGTCTCAATTTTACCTTAGGTGTTCGATACATGTTGAGAAGCCTCTGCTCCTACTATGGTGCACTACCACAAAGTGTGTAGTCTCCTCTAATGGTCGAACGTGTTGAAAAGTAAAACATGAAAAGTCAAGCAAGTAGGCCAAAACTTTCAACAATTTTGGTGGGTGATTTCGGTGGAAATCTTTCGGTGCATGTGCAACCAAAAATTGGTTGTTTTTTGCTGAAAAATGGTAAGGGGAAAATTGCAATTAGTTCCTGGACTTTAGGGTATTTACAATAATGGTCATTAAGCTTCAAATATAAATACCCTAACCCATTTAGCTTCAAAATCACCCCAAAATCATTCTAGCTCTCTAGTTGTGAGTTACAAGTATTTTTTGTAAACACCTATAAATTTTCTCTCTTTAGTAAAAGATCTGCAGCAGTCCAGAGACGTAGACATAATTGGCTGAATTCCGTTATCAATTTCGGGTATTATTTTTCCGCTTTTATTTCATATTCTCACTAATATGGTTATAGGGAAATTACTTGTTTATTTCCCAACAACTGGCATCAGAGCTTTTGGTGGTTAATTTTGTCAGTTTTTTACGAGGTTACTATTCATGTGAATAGTGAATTTCGTGAATAGTAAAATTTGGTCGGTGATACGAGTTTGTTGACGGAGGCGTTCTAATACACAGTGGTTCACATGAATTGTTAGAAATGATCTAAAAGAAGCTAGATTCGAGTGAGAGCGATGGCTTTGAGAAATGAAGTGGATAAGCTCAAGAGGGAGCTGCTCATATGCAAGGGAGCAATGAGTGAATGCGGTACGCTCAAGACCTTCTTGGAAGGACTTAGACCAGGGGTGATGCTCGGGGGAGAGTAAGGAGATGTCTAGAGACTTTTGGAGGCCAAAGCTGTAGCCGAAAAGCTGACTGAGCTTGCAGGAGTCAAGTCAAGTAGCAATGTGTCATCCAAGACCATGCCCAGGGATAGTGGCAATAGTGGGGGAGACTGGGAAAAGGTGCAGCAGAGAGATGGTAGAGAAAGCTCTTCGAATGGCCAATGTGAGTCATCGACTGTTCGTAGCCAAGAAAAACCATTGAGAAAAAATGGCAAGGTTAAGTCCGGTGTAAAGAAGAAGGGGAGCAAGGAAAAATTGAAGTGTTACTTCTGTGATAATCCTCATTTGATTAGAGGATGTCCCGAGAAGCGTCGCCTTACAACCATCATGAATAGGATGTAAGAAGGAGAAGTAGCGGGAATTGGCGCGGTCGCAAGTGTTAAAGCTACCAAGCCAGAAAAAAGACTTGGCTCGATTGATGGGATTAATGCGGCCAAGCAAGGATCGAGACGAGGCAAGGTTGTTGATGTTGAAGCAGTTTGAACAAATGTGAGAAGAAATGAAATTCTTACTTTATTGCTCTAAACGTAAATTATAATTTATAAAGAAGAACTACTCTAAGTTAGGAAATAATTCCTAAGATCAGGGAATTAGATTAGTTGACTATTTACATAAGGCAAACTCCTAGAATTAAGAAAAAGATATTGTTCTTTGATTCTAGGAATTCCAACACTCCCCCTCAAGCTGGTGTATAGATGTTCATCAAACCCAACTTGCTAGTGAGATCTTCAAACATGTTCTTGTTTAGGCTCTTGGTAAACAAGTCTACAATTTGTTGTTTAGTTAGTAGGTAGGTTATGCATACTTCTCCTGATTCGATCATTTCTTTGATAAAATGGCAATCTATTTCTACATGTTTGGTACGATCATAGTGAACCGGATTGTATGCTATGCTCACTGCTGTCTGATTGTCACAGTACAGTTTCATAGGTTTGGTGTGAGGCATTTTTAATTCCCTCATTAGTCGTTGTATCCAAATTCCCTCGCATATACCATGTGACACAGCTCGATATTCAGCTTCAGCACTAGTGCGGGCTATAACAGAATGTATTTTACTTCTCCACGTCACAAGGTTACCCCACACGTAACTGCAGTAACC